AAACCATTCAACAGCTTTTGATAAACGTGCTACTTTGGTTTACAATTTGGAGACAGGAGTCAAATCACTGCTGCAGTAACTGCCAGTCATTGCTAACCAGTTAATAGGATTTCAGGGGAAATCATGAGGACGAGGACTAATGCATTCTCTGCCGTTGTCACAGGTCTTCTGCTTGGAACTTGTGTGGTGCTTGGAAGATGCTGTGACTGGCACTGGCCAGCTCAGGTCACTGATCAGCTCAGGGGTTCTTCTCTCTGATCTTGAGAGGGAGAAGTGATTTTAGTAGGGATAGGTTCCCTACAGATATTACTTGCTTGCCATATTACTCAGAAGAGAATTTTTCTTTGATAGTAGTGGCCCATGCTGAAAGTGTTTTCAACACTTGTGAGCTTAGTGCACAGGCATCTCTCAGGCATGGTACCACTGTGTCCTGTTGACCCACTGTGAACATACTTTATAGTTCATTATTGTATGAGTGTCTTGTAACACTAACAGACACTCTGCATCTGTCCTGAAGTCTTGGGAGTAGCTGCTGTTACAGGACTAGTCCTGGGTTTATTCTATATTTTTTTAAACTCTGAAGTTCTGAAAAACATGGATGGTGGTGAGTGATAGGTGGTATTTCTTTCAAGAGTCCCATCCTGGTGTGTCTGCAATTGACATTTGGGGACACCTCTGCACTGTCTTAGATCTACTAGCAAATGTAAGGTTGTAGCAAAATGTTTCTGAAGATTTTGAAACCCTGGTTTTGAGCACTGTGCCGTGCTGCTCCTATTTGTCACATGTGTTGTGGAGATGTGGTTTCCCTTTACCAGCTACTGGCTTTAATATTCGGATTTCAGCTGGAGCTGAAATGCAGAGGGGAATGTTTTAGCAAACTCTTTGTGGTAGTATTTAGAGAGTGTGAACTTGAAGCAGAGATGACCACAGAGTTCAAGGAGCTCTTAATTCCTGCTACTGGTTGAGGTCACCTGTTCTGTAACAGCATGACAATTCTGGCAGCTCTTGAAGCTGTGAGAGCGTAACTAAAGCCAGCACTGAAACAGAAAGGAAGTGACAAGGACAAGACAAAGATACTTTATATTAGCTGAATATATCCTCATCTCATCACCATGCACATGAGCTGTAAATGAGAGTGAGTACCATGAATGTTCATCATGGTGAGACATTATAGTGGGCATGGGATGGACCAAGTGAGCAAATAGAAAACACAAACTACCTTTTATTTCCACATACAGAGGAGGCTTCCATCACTAAGGATGGAAGAGCCTTATATTTCTAAACAATAATCATAATAGTACACATAATATTCCCAATTTCTTCCTATTCAGCTCCTTGCAACTCCAAAAGATAGGATAGGGCTCTCAGACTGACCTGCTGTGACTCAGTTTGAGTCATTTCACTTCTCATTATCTCTGTTTTTCCTCATATTGCTCATCTTACCCATTAAGCTTTAGGTTTTTAAAACAGGAACTTTCTCTTCCTGTGCATATTTATCTTGTGTCTAACTCAACAGCCTTGATCTTGGTTGAGGCCTCTTGGTGATACCAGAATACAAATAACAATAGCAGGCGCAGCAGAGCAATAACAAGGCAGGTTGGTTAACCTTTGATGTCCCTTTCCTGAGACATCTCTAGGTATTAGAATACAGTTGCTTTTTCATTTATTTATTTTTCTCTCTGTGGTGACTTTGAGTTGGCATGTTGTCATATTCCAGTGACAAGTGACCACACTCCATGCACTGGCTGGCTTTTTCAATCAGTTATCATTTTTTATTCCATGTAATTGCCTTTTGTTTGCAGTTGTTATTTTAAAGGTGACCCCTGACCCTGCTCAGGGAAAGAAATAATGAGTAGATTGCTGTCTGAGACTTTCTTAGTATTACTACTCAGAGCAAGTGAATATTAGCAAGGGCTGGTACTGCTGCTCATCTGCACCTGCATGAAAGAAAAACTTGAAGGGTAGGGTGTGGTGGTGGTGGGTGTATTTTCTTTTCCTGCATTTCCCCCCCACCCTTCTCCAGCTGGTCCCTCGTCTTGCTTCTCTCTTGTATTTCAGTTTCTCCCGTACTCATTTCTGTCGTGTGGAATTTGAGGTTTCTCAATACGTGCCCTGCCCCCAGCCTGCGCGCTCCCCACGGGCCCGGCTTCCTCTCGCACATTCCACACTGGAGCGTACCACTTCGGAGGCAAAGTGGGCTCAGGGAAGAGTCCATCTGAAGCCTCTCTGGCCCAGGCCCACTCCGTCATCATCCTCATTATCTTCACCATGCTGAGAGCACTTTCACCAGTGAAAATGCAAAGATAACGGTTCTCATGGCACTGAGAATTACAAATTCCTGAAATATTTCCAACATCAACCAGCAGAAAAGCAGGGTGATAGAAAACAAATGGTGACAGGAAGGCATCAGGGAAATAGGAAAGAGAAATTTAGGGCTGTATAGGCTGAGGCAAAAAAAAAAAAAAAAAAAAAAAAGAAAAGAGAGACAATAAAGCCAAGAGACAGGGGGAAAAAAAGCAGAAAGAGATGAAAAGCTGAGAAAATGTGAGGGCAAATCAAAGAATGAACAAATGAACCTGGCAGGCTGTAAAATGAAAGAGAATGAAATTAAGTGCATGGAACAAATATTCGGATAGTGATCAAGGATAGAGAGCAGATGCTGAATATGAGTGAGAGCCAAAACACAACAGGGATTAAAAAAATCTGTCAGAAGATTTGGGTAAATTCTTGTTAAGTTTGTATTTGGTTTGATTTGAGTAACCCATCCCTCATTTTAATTTCAGCTTGTCTGCTAGGAATCTGGTACATCCACAGCAGATTATTTTCAAGGGCTGTTGCTGGTGTTTTGCTTTGTACTGTTTTTTTTAACCAGTATTAATTGGGCCTGTCATCTGGGTAGGTCCAGGATGTAAGTGTTGTGACCTTTGTGGGAGAAGGTTTCTTCTATCACTTAATGTGTTTATGTTTGAAATACACGCTCAAACACACGGTCATCCAAACCTGCCTGCATCCCAGAGCACTCCGTTTCTGGGAAGTCTGGTGTTGCTGAGTGTCGTCCTGGCACTCCCTATATCCACTCTGGAGAGGGGAAGCCCACAGGAAGAAGGATCAGTGTGCTGATGTGTGACTTCTGCATTAGGAACCGTTGTCATGTAGCAGTTCGGAGCAGAACAAGGAGCTGCAAAAAGAATCAGGCAGAAAGGAACTCGGCCAAATACAAACAGTTCTCCCTTATAAAATATTGAAGACAGGTAGCATATAAAACTTCATTTATGAGCTGCTCCCAGTTACAAACCATCTCTAGACTGGCAGCAGCACCTTCACCAAACTGCTTTTAATAGAAGATGTCTTCCTTTGGTACTGTACTTTTCCACACAAGCTTGAGGGGAAAGTAATTTAGTTTAATAGCAGCCACCCTCATTTTGAAGCAGGCCTTGATTTAAAGCCGGAAGTAATTAAACGTAATGAAGCCCTAGGCTTCGGCACCAGGATCAGAGCTGTGCTATTCACAGCCATACATACACGTCCTTGTTGCTAATGTGTCACTACTCTGGCTTTTTCAATCACTGTGGCCTGGGTTTTTAATTCCTGCTCGGCAGGCCCTGGTACAGTATCTGTGGAGGTTAACAGCTTTACAGTAATGCTCTGAGAACAAAAGGAAGGCTTATCTCAGGTCTGAGGAGATTTCTTCTTTCCTTTATGAGATTTCTGCTTATTATCTAAATATGGCTTTTTGTGCTCAATTTCTTTTATTGCTTTATGTGGCAGTGGTTTGTCAATTCCTAACTCTAAACAAAAGCCTTTGAGGCAATTATTCCCACATTTCCCCTTTGACAGTGAAATTTAAAGTAAAGCTTGCGTTTTAAAGACGCTTGCATACTGCTGTTTTTTCTCCTTCCGATCCTCAGTAATTTAATCAGATCTCTCTGGATGTTCCCTGGGTGTTCTTTAGGTGTCCCTTGCTCAGCTTGGTATCTCTATGGCTCCTTCTGTTTGGTTTGTTAGCACTTTGGGACAGGGAGTTTGGAAGCTCCCTGAAGTCATTGGGAATTGTGCCATTGGCTTGAACAGGGACAGACTTTTTAACCTTGTGTTAACTCAGTGGTAACAGAAACCAAACTGACCTCTCAGTGTCTCTTTCAAGTTACCAAGATCCAAATATCAGATGTAATGTGTGACAGAATCCCAAAAAGAGGGTCATCAAAACAATCAAATCATACAGGAATGCTGTGGGATCCACCCGCCAGTGTAAATAACTCTGTGACCTCAGTTTCATTATTCTTCCTTTCTGATGTCAATAACTTCCCACCATAAAAGTGTACCATGAAATGGAAGATATTTGAGAAGTCTGCCTACCAGCATGGCTCTCATATTCAGAAGTTAAAGAAAAATATATCTTTCAGTAATATGCATGCATGCATTAGTCCACATTAATATGCAGACAGATTGCATACTGGTTTTTAAAACTGTTATTTTTAGTATGTTATAATGGTCTATTAAAAGCTGGATCATACAAAGGTTTTTAATACAGAGACTCAGGACAGCAACCTCAGCTATCTCTCTCTTCTTTCAGCCAAAAGATTGTGAATAGTTAGTCCTGGAAAAGGATTTTTTTTCCATATTGTAATCATTAATAAGGCTGAAATATAACAGTCCCACAAACTCTAATCTCATTGCTCCTCTAAATGTACTGTGTTGATTAGTTTGCCCTTTCCAGACTATCCTCTGAAAAACCCTAAGATTTTCATCATGTGATTACTAGAAATGTATGGTCCCAATATTTTTAACGAGTAACTTTACTAAAATTACTCAACTAGGTTGTGGAACTGGCTGAACAATGTGTTATACTACTGGGGGGAGCAGCATTTTGTGAGTGGCCAGTTTGTTATTTTGGTGTCCAAACTGGGTATTCTACAGTTAGAGGTGAAGGATGCAAATAGGTCAGAGGTAGTAGCAGCAACTTCTGGCAAAGCAGCACTTCCCATTTCCTGTTGATTTGCAGGTGGGCTGGCTGATGGTGGTATGGCCATTCCTTGTGTGGTTGAACTCGGTGGAAGGTGGAAGCTGCTCCTTTCCAAGGATGCCTCATTTCATCTTTTGTAACCCTCAGCTCTCAGCCACACACTAAGCCTCCTACAAGGTATTCATCTTTGTGCTGACTTTTCTTGGCTGTGAGTGCCATGGATTACTGATCCTGTTTTTTCTTCAAGTAATTACTTTTGCATGCTAATGGATGAACAGTGTTGCACATTCTAGTGTCCTGTTTGAAAACAGTGAATTTTCAGAGCACTGTTAATATGGGTTGACATTCATGTAGACTGTTTGTTATGCCACAGGTTGTTTTAGCAGCCTCCTTGCTACCATCCTAGGTTTCTTTCTCTTATTCTTTTACCTAGACATCCAGCCTCTTTACTTGCTATGCTAGAGCAAAGCTGATCAAATGGCACTTACCTGTTTAGATGGTGGAGGATAGCCAGGATCAGGGATTTCACAGTGACCAGGTTGTAGAGTCAGTTGCAGGTCAAAAAAACTGTAATCATTGCACTATGGGCTACACTTAAATGGGCTTTTCTCATTTATTTAGTGCACTTAGTCCCTGCTTGAGATTACAGTTCTCATATAATGTAGGATTGAAAAATAACTCTGCAAGGCATACATTGCTCATATTCTCATACTTATAATTTTTGCCCCACTCTCTCCCCTCCCCTTCTTTTTCTAGCACAGGCTACACTTACACTTTAAAGTGTAAGCTTTCTGTAGAAAATACATTAAAGTGTACACAGTTACTAAGGCATTCATCAAGTAAGAACATTGTTGATTTCTTGGTTTGGAATGATCCTTGAAAGACCTTGTTTATTTCCCAGCAGACTTGTATATCTTTTGCATGTATGCAGAACAATTACATTTCAAGGAAAGTGCTGTATTATAGCCTTATTACTTAACAGATCTGATTATTTCTTCCACCTTACGCAGAGCTGCCTTTCCAATTCAGTAGATCTTGAAAGATCATTCGGAGGAATAACATCAAAGCATACCTTGCATAGCAGTGGAGACCCTTGTCTTTGAGGCATACTTTGCATCTCCCAAGAAGTGTCAGCTCTGCCCTCCACAAGAACACAGGTAATTTCTTATCTGTAAACAACATGTCACCCCACAGGCCCTTTCTGCCAAGAAATACAGGAAGGCCCAGGCCACAGCAGTGGTCCCTGGGCAGGTCTGACTGCTGGAGCCCTGTTCTCAGCAAGGCACAGCGGGCAGCTCCATGTTCACTACCCACCTGGCAGTGTCTGTGGCCTGGAAGCCCCTCTATCTTTCTGATTTCACAGTAGGCCAGTGACTGTGAACAGTGTGAATGGGAATTATACAGCAACAAGTAACAGTCTCTCATCTCCAGGGTTTAGAAACCTGCCCAAGGTATCAGGGAAAACTCTGGTCTCTGGTCCACCTCAGCAGCCCTCAGATGGGCAGCAGCCCAGCCCCAGCCTGAAGTGCAGCCTGCACACCAGAGGCATATGCCTTCACAGCTTTTAAGTTTGGGGGTAGTGTTGAGCTTTTAACACAGTGTGCAAGCTTTCACTGCTTTTATTAATTACTTCTTCTCAAGTTTCCACATTTTATTTTATTATGTTAAAATTCCTGTAAGACAGTATGTTTTTTAAGCCCTTGTGGATCTTTACATATTTAAACCCCTGTGGATTATATACAATACAGTGGTACAGCATTTATCAAGGTACAGGTCTGGTAGTATATTTCTGAAATTTGCCATGAGATCCATATGTATTCATGAAGTATATGGGTAAACATAACAGCATATTTAGTCATATCTTCTCACCTGATAAAAAACCCCAGTTTTAAATAAAAAATGGTGTTTATTCAAAAGTGATGCAATTTTCATGAAACCGCTTTATGCTTTTAATGAGATTAAGATGCAGTATGCGCTAAGATTCACAGCAATATTTGTGATATTATGAACTAGTTGTTATACTCATGACATTATTAGCTGCAATTTATTAAACAAAGCACTAACAAACTGCAGTCACAATTTAGTCAGATGAAATTAACCTTACCATATATAAAACCACTTCTTAAAAATGCACGTAGTGTCATATTTCACAGTTACCATGACCAGCTCTCTTTACTCCTCCAAACTGGAAGGCAGACGTGCAATCCAAACTAAGTAAGGGAAGATAAAACCTGTTCTCAAAGTAGCAACACAAAACACCTAAAAATACTGTTCCATATGAGCATATTTTGTCAGTTTGGAAAAAAATCATCTTCCTCTCTCCTCATAACACATGCAGAGGTCTCTGCTCCTGTCGCTTGCTGCACAGCTTTCCACCGGCTGCTATAAACCGGGGGAGGTAGTTTTGGCTGCTTTATCTCAAAAAAGCAATGGATTTTGTTGAAGTCTTTCCCACAGGGGCACCGTTCAGCTGCTTGGGCAGAGCTGCTGTGCAGGCCATGACAGGAGGGCAGGGCTACACCAGAGGTTTGTGCTGCCACACCAGGCGAGGGCACAGGGATGGTGAGGGCTGTGGTGTGACTGATGGTGAGGGTGTGAGTGGTGAGCCCACAGTGCCAGCCCACCGTGTACCCCTGGGGACCTGGGGATGAGGGGGGGTGCTGGGCAATGTCCCAGCGTTGGGGCTGGGGACATCTCCCAGCCAGCTTGGCTTTGCAGCGCTTCTCTTCAAGTGCTGTGTCCAGAGGTGGCCCAGGTGAACCTGCCCTGTGTCCTGCCTGTGCTGGAGCAGCATCCCTGCCTGGAATGCCATGGTGTGTGGGACCCACTCATGAGGTCTGACAGTGCTGTGGGGACAGGAGCTGTGGGTGGGGAGGAACATAGAGAGGGGTCAGCACAGCCTTTGCAGTCTGGCCCAAACCAGACTGTTTCACCCAAAGTGAAACAAGCACTTTGTAGCTCTCCAGGCCCCTAGGTTGGCCTGGAGCACATGTGGCCTCGGGGATGGCTGCTGTGACAGAGATTCTGCCAGGCTGGGTGCAGGTGGCTGATATTTGTCTGGCAGCACGAGAGTGGCAGCCCCCGAAAGCTGGGAGGGGTGTGTGGGTTGCCTACAGAGAAGGAGCTTAAACTGAAATCTGCTTTTAGGTCAGTTTGTCTTCTTCCAAAATAAGTGTGTGGGCTACAACCAGAGTGGTTTTATAGCAGGTGAGAACAGCATGTGTTTGATACCACGTTTCAGAGTACAAGAAAAGTGGGATGTGTACAGAGTAACTGGACAGCAGGACAGGTGGGTCGTGTTTGCTTCAGCTGGGGAATTCTTGATTTGGAAGTGCCATGGCTGCATCAGCATCCCAGGGTGGGCAGGCTGAGCAGGTGCCTGACTCCTGAGTGCTCACAGGGGCTCTAGGAGGCACACGGTGACAGCAGTGGTGATTGTTCCAGCATGTTCAAAAGACCTGGTAGAACATGTGTCCTCTGACTGCCTACATTTTCTATAGCAGGAAAAATCATCTTATACCTGGGGCTGCTTTAGCTTTTTAAAGGAATGCACTGAGTGGTTAAATGCCTTAATGGTAACTATGTGCAACCTGACAGCTGATATTTTCATGAAGATACAAAGCTGTTAGACCTATTAAAAAGTCTAATAATCTAATCCCCTAAATAAGTTATATTAAAATAATGTAAGTGCATAATGCAAACGTTGTAGTTGTTTTCCCCCTTTACAGCAATCTTACAGCTGTTGCTTTGCTGGGATTAATTTGTCTCTAAGGGGTTTCAACACTATCCTCCCCAGTGCATTATGAGAGCCTGTAATGTCATGTAATCGGTGCCATATTATTTTTGTCGAAATCTCTGGGAGTGATGTAAGAGGAAAAAGGAAACTAGCTAACTCCCAACCATTTGACCAAAGGTTAAATTAGTCTTGGCCTTCTCCCAGCCGGACCTGAAGCTTCTCAGTCAAACATTTGTTCTGCCCTGCTCAGAAAAATGTGATGTCTTTTCTTGTCTTTTCTCCCTCCCATGTTTGTTTTGTTTTGCTTTGTTTTTCTTTACCGATGTCACATGTTATCTTTAGTGTTACGCACATATTTGTTGAGGAACACATCACTGGGACAACAGATGTTACCTACTGGAAGGTCAGACCTTTGGTTCATGAGTCTTTTAGATGCTATGGAATGTTATGGGCATGAAGGCTACATTTTAAGTAGGTCATATTACCCTGTGCAAGAAAACTTTTATTTATTGTGTGCAGTTGATGCACAATTTCAGTCCAATCCAGTCCAAACTGGCCCAAGCATGGCCCTTTGTAAGACTCCAGAAGATGTTTATCTGCTTGAAGGAAGCTAGAAAATCTCACAGCAGCAGTATTTGGTAGGTGGTATGAGAGTCTCCCTGCAGACTCCCCATGCACAGTTTGGTGGTATGAGAGCCTCTCTGTTCCCCCCGTGCACATTCTGAGAACCTCCTGGCTGTCTAGAGTAACAAACAGCTGTTTGTGTGTTTTCATGTCCTTTCCCATGTGCAGTGATAGGTTCTGGTTTTTTTGCTTCTTAGATGTGTACACATTTAAGACAAAAGATGGTAAGTTTTTTGAGGTTCTTTAGCTTGTTAGTTAAGAATATTCATTGAATTGCAAAGGGCTGATATTGAAGTGTTCTGTTCTATGTTATGAGCTAGTAATGTCTGAAAAGATGGAAAAAATATTGGTCTGGTCTTTAAGCAGTCTGGTGGCTTATCACCATTCTTTGGTGTTGAGAAAGGGTTGGGCTGCCACAAGAAGAGATTTCTAACCAGAGTCAGCTGAATTGAGACTGTCATGAGAAGAAAAAATTGTCTGGTGCACTGAACTACAAAAAACATTCTGAATGGGAATGAAGCAGGGGAATGAGCAGGTCAACTGGTGTACTTGGGTATTAAGCCTTGGTGAGAGTTCAGAGATGTTCAACATTTTATGAAAGTCCAAGTATATCTTAATGCATCTGAATTTATGTCTTCTTTTATCTGTTTTTCTGCTTATGTCTAGTTATATATTTGAAAAACTGCCAGAAGTCCAAATGCCAGTAGGGGCCAATTCAGAGATACATACTTTGGCTGCTTAATTTATATTCATCAGAATGATGAATAACAAATGTAGATTTTAATTGATCCAACAATAGTCATTGAAGAAGCATGATTAAAAACCAAAAAATTGCTATAGGACTAATCTCATAAACTCCTTTGTTACACTAAATAATATATTTTCATGTTATCTATTTTCATAGTGCTTTAAACAGCAAACAGTATGAAGATGCAGTCTATTTAGATTAGATTGTTTTCTTTAAGTTAAAACATTTTCTGAATGATAGATTTGTATGAAAATCACTTGGAATTTGTGCCAGGTTTAGATGTTTCCATCTAATTTGAGCTTCAGAATAAAGTTAGAGGAATCTTTTAATAGTCCTGGGTCCTTTCAGGTTATTTAGGAGGATCTTTCAATCCTTGCAAGTGAAGATGCAATTAATTAGTGTTATGTATTGCTGTTTGCTAGTTCATGTACACTGTATATGAGCAAGGATAGTTCAAAGGTTAATTTTCTTTTCCCTTAGCTCTGCTGAGTGGACTGTGGCCACCCCATGGGAAGTAAGGGTTCAAAAGTGACCTTGCAAGTTATTCTCCTTGGGAAGAAACAAGTTGAGAGTCTGGTTGAGGAGTGCTCTCCACCCTTGGGAAGAACACAGCTTGCATTGCATCACTTGTTTGCACTGGCTAGAGCATATTATTGTAGTTGTGAAGGCAGCTGAATGTTTGTAGTACTTGGTACCTTCTAGGAGGGTATTGCACTGCAATTGCACTGTAAAAAGAAAATACCAGGAGCTTAGAGCAAGGAGCTACTGTGACTATATGCTGTTTGTTCAGTATTAGACAGCAGAAAAGGGTATCAAGACTAGTAATAAAAGAGTAGAGGAAAATCATGTACAGAACTGCATAAATAACACTGTGTAAATGCTTAGGTGCATAAGGAACCAAAATAATGAAGTGGCAAGGGTTTAACAAAAAACATATCAACATGAATTATCTGATCAGTTTAGCAAACCATTAACATTTAGGATGGTGATTGTCAAGAACTTAGAATGAACTTGTACTAGTTTCCGTTTATGTGTTTTTTCTCTGTATA